TCTGAGTGAGAAGAGGAATCTGTAAAAGCAGAGGAACTTAGGTTTTTAAAAAGCACCAAGTATTTGTTTTGTCCTATACTTACTCTTAGTTTCTTTTTCTTCCTTCCTTTCTCCTTTTCTCCTCCCATTGCCTCATCTACCACCTGGACTTTTACTTAGCCTCGTGTTGCTTGCTTTCTAGTCTTTCTTCCCTCTGGGAGGTAATCAAATCAATCTTCCCAGACCACTTTGTTCTCATCCACTGATGCATCGTTGTGGTCGTGGTTCTCCATTCTATATGTTAAAGCTCACACTTGAGGGACACAAGTCCTCTGTTGCTTCCTTTCCCAGAATTGCCCCACATAGACTCTGCTCTGAATGAGTGGGTTTCTCACTGTCCTCAAGCGCGTGTTGGGCTTTTGCCTTTTAGAACCTTGCTCACGCCTCAACCGTCTCACTTCTAGTGCCTTCTCTCACACCACCTTGTGAAGACCCTTGTAAGGACCACTACCAGTCTGAAAAGCTGTTATCCCTTCACTTATACCATTCATTCCTGTAGGTTTTCACTAAAAAAAAAAAAAAAAAAAAAATGTGTTAAAGACATATTTTGTGTTAATAGTGGTGCTGGTACCTAAGGAAGCAAAGATGAACAAAGAGAGTCTACCTTGAGCTGACAGTGCTCTTGAGGAGATGGAGGACTATAAATGTAACATATAGGTGAAATGACCTGGAATTTGTGTTAAGAGTCATAAGAGAAAAGAGCACACTGCCCTGAGTCAGAATGATGGGCTAACATGGATCCAATTTTAGACAGGGGCACCCAATGTAGGTAGAGGTAAGGAAGTCAGAAAATCATTTTAAAGGAATGAGCATTTTAGCTGAGACTCAGAGGATGAAAAATAGGCAATGAAGGAAAGTGTGGTATGTTGGAAGAAGAACCTTCTACATAGAACCAACAGCATTTCAAAGGTCTGCGGCAATAAAGAGCTTGGAAATATCAAAGGAAAAATGAAAAGGAACAAAAGCCCTTGAAGGCCAGAACATAGTAAGCCAGGGGAGAGTGGCACTGCCTGAGGGGCATGGGTGGGGCCAGAGGATGCTGGCCTTGAAGGCCATAGTAAGGAGTGTGGTTTGAAATGCAATGGGAAGCAATTTAAGTGTTTTAAGCAAAGACGTGAGATGATCTTATTTGAAGTTGAGACTGCCATCTGTTCATTAAAATCCGCTTGTCTTTTCTCCCTGAGCACATGGCCGGATTCCATTTCCTGGTTCTCTTTGCAGTGGGCTCTGAGCCATGGGACTGTATCTTATGCATAGAAGTAAGTGGTAGTCGGAAGTACATGGTAAGTAGTGGTGAATAGCCCCATGACTAGGACTAACTTATAAAAACCTCCCGTGTGGGCTTCCTCATGCTATTTGCCTTCTCACGGGGCAAACTTGGGAGCCCCTGTTGAAATGGTAGAGCCCCTGGCATCCTGGATACCTGCATGACTGTGTGGAATGGAACTGCCTCCCAGCTGACCTACAACTGTCCTGAGCTTTTATGGGAGCCAGAATGAAGCACCGGATGTGTCAAGCCTTTACACATTCTGCCCGTTTGTTACTACATTCTAGTGTGTCTAAAATAATATGATAGTTTGAAAGAGCAATTTGGCAGCTGTGCTGTATGAGACTGTGAGACAGTGTGAACAATAGCAATGGCCAAAGTTCTCATGAGGACTAGAGAGATTTCAGTTGAAATAGATTTTAGGTCATTTCAAATATAGAATCAACAGCTCCCACTGACAATTGCTGTGTGTGTGTGTAGTAAGCTTGTGGGGAAAAAAATCTCACTTGATTTGACTCTCAAGGGAGATATCACTTAACTTTTTGGGCTTTGCATAACATACATACTTCACTGAATACCTGCAGACATATATTTTGTTTATTTGACTAAATTGTCTTAAACTAGAGGGCAAACAGACCAGAAGCTTTTATTTACTGTGGTGTCTAATATAGTGCTTTTTTTAAAAAAGATTTTATTTATTTATTCATGAGAGATGGAGAGAGAGAGAGAGAGAGAGAGAAAGAGAGGCAGAGACATAGGCAGAGGGAGCCACAGGCTCCACGCAGGGAGCCTCATGTGGACTCCAGGATCATGCCCTGAGCTAAAGGCAAAGGCCCAATCCCTGAGCCAGCCAGGCATCCCTAATATAGTGCTTTATGTGAGGTACTTTTTTCACTAACCTTTGCTTAAATTAACGAATAAAAGGGTAGGCTCTCAGATTTTTTGGCCATGGAGTTATTGGAGGTCATGTGACCCATGACTTCTTCTAAGGGAGAGGGTGAGCTGTGTTACATTTTTGTATTACCTGTGTTTGCCCAGTCATAAGGGAAACAGCATAAGGAAGCCCACATGGGAGGTTTTTATGAGCTATCCCTATTCTTGGTATTCACCACTACCACTTCCCTGGGTAGGATACAGTAACGTGGTTCACAGCCAACTGCAAGAAGAGAGCCAGGAAATGGAATCTGGCTTAGTGGGGAAAGTAGTATCATGGGGCTTGGGATTTGAATGTTTGCAATAGGAGATATGTAGAAATGTTTTTTAATGGCATGTGAGCTAATTCTCACTGCCTTCCCATCACTTTCAAATGTCCCCACTAGCCATTGCCCAGTTCTCAGAGTTGCTTCATTGACCACTATTTCCATCCACAGTTAGGCACTCATCTGGGAGAATCATAATTTATGGAAAGTCTCAAGATAGGCGGTTTCTGTAATCCAGATGAGCAATGATGAGATCTGTAACTAAAGTGGTGGTGGAAAGAGAAGGATGGGATAAGAGAGTAGAACATGGTGACTGGATGGATTTTGGGCAAAGGAAAGATGAGAATAAAGATGAATACTGGGGATCCCTGGGTGGCGCAGCGGTTTAGCGCCTGCCTTTGGCCCAGGGCGCGATCCTGGAGACCCCGGATCGAATCCCACATCGGGCTCCCGGTGCATGGAACCTGCTTCTCCCTCTGCCTGTGTCTCTGCCTCTCTCTCTCTCTCTGTGTGACTATCATAAATAAATAAAAATTAAAAAAAAAATAAAGATGAATACTGAAGTCCCATGCTGATAAACCTCAATTTATAAACTTCAATGTATATCAACAGACCAGTGTTACCAAGAGAAAGCCAGTTAATGCTGCCTACCACCAATGGGTGGCATTAATGATGAGCCAGGACATTTAAGGCTTGGATGTGGTACTGTGTTTGTCCTTAGTTTGAATATGTTTTATGAACATTATTAAACCATACATGCCTGAGAAGGGTAAAAATGGTGATGTTGAAATTACTGATATAAAGAGACATAAGGATAGGGCACCGGTGCTAAAGAGATTAAAATGACCATTGGTAAGTGTGAGAAAAATGTTGAAAATTATATTTGTAGAGGAGATCCATTGACAGTAGCAATAATTCCAAAGGGGAAAGATGAATCAGGCCCCTTGTGAAAAACATTGCATTTCACAGTACAGGAGGAGGGGAAGAGGGATTAACCAGAGTAGAAAACAACTCCAAATAGGGGAGTTAGGTCTTGAAGGTCAGCATTGATATCGAATGCCCATTAGCTCTTTTTAGTGAAGGCTAGAAGTTTGTTCAACAGGGTGAGGATTAAGCATGGTGAAGGACTTATGGTGATATTTTCTTGTGAGACATGGTCACATAAATTCAAAGGCTTTTTTTGCACAGCATTGGGGTGAGTGTAGAAGTGCATATGGGGACACCCTAGCGCCTAAGACCTCCCTGTGAGGCTGACACAGTGGAAGGAGAGGATAGAGCATGCCAAGTGGAAGAAATCAGAATGGAAACCAGGGAACAGAGCTGAATGCAATACAAAAACTATAGTCAGAGGCTTATTTGCTGCAAACAAATGCCATTTGGTAAGGTGTGCCCTACCCTTTCCTTTCTGTGTTCCTCAACAGAGAGTGGTGGAACCATTAGATCAACAGCTGGAAGGGATGAGAATTCCCAAGGCCCAGCCTATGTTTCATAAGAGCAAGTGATCTCATAATTTGAAAATATAGAATTGGTCAAGGGCTTCAGAAGAAAAATAAGACTGACTTCTAGATCCGATGTGTATCTCCAAAATAATTACTATTCCCACACTAATACATTATTTCTTGAACTTTATTTTCAAATAAATGTACTGAAATTTAAATTAATATTACATATTAATGTATGATCTTTATAGTAGAAATATGAGCTGTAATTACTTGACTATAATGTAGACTTGGTATCTAATGAGGAGACAATTTCAGACAAAGCCATAATTTCTATTCAGCTATAGTACTGAATATAGTCCTGGTATTTTCTAAATAGAAGATGAAACAGAAAGAAAAAGAGAATAATATTAGAGAGGTAGAAGGCAATGAACACAAGCATAACTGTTTTAGTATGGAAGGATGAGGCTTGAGGAGGGAAAAATATGTACAAAATCATCAAGGTAGATTAACATAGGACAAACAGGAGTTAGTTCTTCAAATTAATAAATATTAGAAATACAGGGTTTCTACTGAAACTTAAAGAGGCTATTTAAAGGAACTCATTCTTCTCATATCATAGTGGTATGGAAAGAAAATGTGAATGATTTAATACTAACTATGCATGGATAGCTCCACAATGGATGTTTATGGGATATTAGAGATGTTTCTTGAGTTTCTTTCCCCTGCAAGATTTCATTTAGAGATATAATACCAAGTAGAATATATAAATGTGCTTCTTTTGCAGTCTGATGAAATGTATACATTGTGTGATTTTCTTATTCTTATCCTTTATAAAGTTCTTATTATACCTTGTATGAATTATTTTATTCCTCCTACCGTTTATGAATTTCTATCTTATATGAATTACTTAGCCATTTTAGATTTATAGCCCAAAGTAGAAAGAAAAAGCATTAGTTTTCACAAATTATATTCTTGCCATTTAAAAAGGTACTTGCGAGCTAAAGATGACAGATACTTCTTTTTTTAAAATAACACATTTTATGCTTTCTCTAGGCTGGAATGATAAAAAGTGATAATGATGAGTATTTCATTGAACCTTTGGAAAGAGGTAAGCAGATGGAGGAAAAAAATGGAAGGATTCATGTTGTCTACAAGAGATCAGCCATAGAACGGGCTCCCATAAACATGTCCCACGACTGCCAATACAGAGGTAGGCATCTTTGACAAGGCTTGATAATTAACCTTAATTTTAAGATATGATGAAAACAACTCTCCCAATCAATTAAGAGAGTGTGATAGTCCTGTGCTCTTGCATAATGTGGAGGTAGCAAAAGAAGTTTATAATTCATGAAATATGGCCCACCTTTTTTTTAACCACATAGTAGAATATATGTTATTGGTATTATTTTATTCCAGTGCATTATTGTGTTCCCAATATGTTTGTTATTTACGATTTCTTTTCAAGTTTCACATTGAAATTCTCCTTTCTCTAGCTTCTGTTAAAGGTTGAAAATATTTTTGCCTTTGAGAAGTATCTAAATTATGAATTATTAGTATTATTTTCAAACCTTTAAAATGAGATATATTGACATGGCAGAGAGATAAATATGTGATAGACACATTTGAAAATAAGAATGCTATTTGACTTTAAGCTATTTGACTATTTTGCAAACCTTTTTGACAATATGGGAGAGAGAATGAGTTGAATGATTCTGCCAAATTTTATTTCAAAACAGGCTGGACCACTAGAGTCAATTAATATGGCATGTGAAGCTTTTCTAGTTTTGTATGATTCAATGAAATCTGAAAATAATTTGTTATTAAAGAGATGTTTTTATAAGTTGGATATAGAAGCTCCCTTTTGGAAAAGAAAGGAAATTTGCGAATCTATGTTATTTTAATCAAATTTCCTGGGTGACGCAGTGGTTTAGCGCCTGCCTTTGGCCCAGGGTGCAATCCTGGAGACCCGGGATCGAATCCCACATCGGGCTCCCAGTGCATGGAGCCTGCTTCTCCCTCTGCCTATGTCTGCCTCTCTCTCTCTCTGTCTCTCATGAATAAGTAAATAAAAAAAGAATGTAGACCTGAAGACTTTATTTTTAATTTTTCAATTGTGAATAGAAGATTGCTTTATAGTTGAAGTAGGCCATAAAATACATTTTGGAAAGGTTTTCAGAAATCATGGGTCAAAGGAGGAGGAGTTCCTTTTTTAATTCTTAATTACTTTAAAATTTGACCGAATAAATAACATAGAATGTTCCACGATAAACCTTAGTATGAGCTTAACGAATTTTATTTTCTTATTTATGAAGTTCTGATTGAATTGAGTTGCTAGTGGTTATCAATTTACTTCCTTCTGAGAATCCCAAATTATAACTATATATTTCAGAAGTGTAAATGTCTTCCTAGGGCAAAAAGACATTTAGATTCAGAACTTTAAGTACTATACTTAACTTTAACATTCTTCTTTTAACTTCTTGGTCTCAAGACTGAGAGCCAAGCTTTTTCATGCATTATATACTTTCCAAGTGAAATTAAGAATATATTTTTATGCCTTATTCCATCAATCTAAAATGTAAAGCTGAACATATTCTAGGTTTAGGAAAGTATATGATTTCTAAATGAAAGCTGTAATAACATATAAAATAGTGCTTTGTTTGGATCAATTCAGGATGTTATTTTAGGAGACACATGAGGTCTTTCTTCAGTAAGTTATAAGAAGAGGATTAAAATACATAAAATGTAGTTAAAAATGCATTTGAGGGCCATGGTCTTCATAAATTTCTCTGACAGCAAGTCATCAGGAGTTTTTATCATAAATAAAGCACCATTGACCCAACAGAGTTTCGACATCAAGGCCCCTATAAATAAACCTTCTGCTCTATTTTGCTAGTTGTCTCCAGAATTGCCTGACCACATGTGTTGTTTTGTCAGTTTATAACTGACATTCATTTAATTTCCATAGTTTGGAGCAAGTGTTCTAAATTAAAACCAATTATCTCCCGAACTAAACGATAAAAGTGAGATGGAGAGAAGGAGCCAAATTGGATTAAGACTGAAATAGAACTGATGGGGTTATTTGGTGCAGCATATATTGGGGGTGGAGAGAGAGAAAGAGTGAACAGGGATGAGTCAGAATCCTAATCTGAAAGACTAGAGGATTCTCTTCTCAGAATTCAGATATTTGAAATGAGAAACAGAAATAGGCTTGATGGAGAATGACAAGTGGGTATAATTTTGGATATATTGAGTTCAAAGATCCATTGGAGTAGTGAGTGAATAAAAAATGCACAGTATATTTTCATAATCATGTGTCAAAGTCAACGCATGCCCTTATATACATGTTGGGGTAGGGGTGAGAAGAGGTTAGCTTGGATTCAGGGGCAGATATTGGCTTGTGGATGTTTGGAATGTCTCTGCTTGCCTTCTACTCTCTCTTTTCTAACTTTATATTGATGAGAATCAGAAGATGTACCTTGCACAGAATTGGAAGCCCATGAAAGATATTTGCTACCTATCACTGTAGGGGAGGAGGACATTTTGTCCTAAAAAAAAAAAGAAATCCAAAACTAAATGCAAAGCAGAAAATATGCTTCTACCACACTCAACCTTAAAATATTCCACTTGATGAAAAGCAAACATCTATTTTGATTACTTATCCTCTTAAAATATTTATCTAGGTTTCCAATAAAAGTCACAGCTTTGAACCTGTTGAGATAACATATTCTATGCTATTATTCAACAATAACACAAATCCTCAACAATTTCCATATATTACACAGATTCTCTTTCCTCTACTCTTCATAAGGAAGTTGTATTATTTTTAAGATGTAGAAAAATGTGAAGAACTGTTTGAAAATATACTGAATTTGTAAAATCACAGATGCAGTACTCTGCTTTAGAATTTCTCTTTTAAGACCTAAAACAGTTTTATGTTTGGCAATATAAATAATCTCTTCCAATGCAGAATTGGCAGGTGTTTATAACACATAGTACTGCCAATTTCTGTCATAGAAATACCATCCTTTTCAGTAAACAACAAACATAAACTGTTCATGCTTATGATAAGAAACTTGTCAAAAAACAAAACAAAACAACTTGTCTACTTCATTATGGGGGGGAGAGTTGAATTTTACTTTTTTAAAAAAAAAAATTCTGCTTTGGGAGGATGAAAATCACACCCATTTGTGGACATTCAGTTTTGACAAAACTATTTTATATTTTACTAGTTTTTGAAATTTCATTTGGTAATAACGTGGTTAATCAACCAATAAAGGGACATAAAGTTCACCTCCACTGAATCTAAGCTCAGATGAAAAACAAAACATATCCCTGACTATCCCTTAAGAATGTCTATATTGTTGTCCATAAGAAGTTTGCTTTAGGCAGTCTATTTTGGGGGAAAGGGGAGGGAGTTGTATGACATCATTGAGCTTTTCATATTTTTTATTTAATTCCTAGGCCCTTAAGCTTCTCCCATCAAATTACAAACTATTCACTCACCAGAAGCTTTGTGTTAAAGTAATTTTTGTAATTACTTCCTACCAGTGGGAAACAAGGAATAGTAAGCCTTTATCTCCTAGCTTCCTTTCAGGATTTCCATTTTCCTGCATGAACCCAAGCGCTTGTGTCGCTGGCATGGTTGTCATGGTGCTGTGAAGGAGTGTCTTTGTCCCAGGTGGGAAACATATACAAGTCAGAAATGATTTGGGAGTTGCTCCTGGTTGCCAGGGAATGAAACTATGAAACAAGAGTTAGAATAATGGGAAGACTATTTCTTATTTTAGTGACTCCAGGAACTTCCTAGGCAGAGTCCTTCCTTGTATCTATAGAAAAGTCAGTAGGTGCTATAACTATTGTATTTGGAAGTTCTCATGACCTATGCCCCGATTAAAGAGGAACAGTGATGGACATTGCAAGCTACAAAACAAAACAAAACAATCACATGAGAGAAATGATTTTAAATGAAGTATCAAACATTATTTAACTAAATTATTAAGATCTGTCAAATAGCAGTCATTCTTTTAGGTGTATGTTAAATGATAAATTTTATTCATTTTTACTCAGCTGCATAGTTTGGTTTATAATACAATCTAAGATCAGCCATTTGTCAGAGCTACTACCAGTGGATTCATATGGAAATACTAATTATATTTATGTAATTCCTTCTTCAGTTTGTTTGCAGATTTCATAATCTATGTATTTATAATAATTATTGGCAAAAAGAAGGCAATTAAAGATTGAATTATAAAATGAAAAAATGAAGCAAAGTGATGGTTGAAGATCTTTCAGATATGAAAGATAAAAGATAATACTTTTATTTTCTTGTATTAGAATGTCTTATGGGGTCTATTCTATCCCTTTCATGAATAGATATCATGAAAGGAGTTTGTTTATATAGACCAGGATTAAAGTCTTAAAAATGTAACTCCATTCTTTTCTGATAAAGAATTGAATATGGAAAGATACAAACTGTATTGAGAAATCAGAGCTTCTGGATTACTAATTAGTTATTGATGTGACATTAAAGGATAAGAGAATTTGAAGTTTTTAGATATATCTAGGTGATTGAAACAAAATTGAAAACAATTTATATTAGGATACAAAGCCAATGCAGATAATATAGGCTGGACATTGATTCTTAAATGATTGACTACTCAGAAGTACCTGTATCGGAGTGTCTGGGCGACTCAGTCAGTTAAGCATCTGCCTTTGCCTCAGGTCATGAATCTTAGGGTCCTGGGATCAAGCCTGGTGTTGGGCTCCCTGCCCAGTGGGGCGTCTGCTTCTCCCTCTGCCCCCTCTCCCTGCTTGTGCTCTCTTCCTTTCTGTCTCTCAAATAAATAAATGAAATCTTTAAAAAAAGCAACTATCAATTATTGACTCATGAGAGAGCAATTACCAATTACCATGGTCTTTTTTGCATACTTTATAATCACCCGACAGGATTATACTTACTCAGCTGTTAAGAGTAGGCAGTTTCTTCACTTCTTCCATAAAAAATAAAAGAAACAACATTTTGATGTGGTGCAGTACAATAAGTTAAAAGAAGATCTTGCTAAGGCTACAGAGTCGCTGAAACAGGTGCGCCACTCTCTCTATTTGCGAATGCAAGGAAAGGAACTCAATGGAAAGAATTAATCTTGCATTTTTAAATATCATTGAATTTTTTCCAGTACGTGTTGATTCTGCAACTTAAAAACTGGAACT